TTATTAGCATCTCTAAAACCATTGATGGGAAAGGAAAAACACAAATGTAGCTTTTCAAACCAGTTTTTTTTTAACTAAGTTCTTAAGTTAACCATTAGATATATTTTTCTACCTTTAAACTTGATTTTAATAGATACCAAGAAAACAGCTGTTTATATTGGGAGCTCTTTCAACTTTCACCAATTTAAAAGTTTTAACAAATTAAAGGATCCATCATATGGCCATCAATTTATATATATATATCTAAACCAAAAAATGAAGAGGCTTTTCCACATGAGAGTGGGGTATTGCCTAAATAAAATTCAAAAGTTTACTCTCCAAAAGCTAAAGGCCTTTGTGGTCCAGGCTGATGCAAAAAAGGTTAAGATGGCAAAATGTCTGAAAAATGGTACAAAGGATTGTTGAGAATCTCAATTTATTTGCTTGGCCACCATATGTACACAATACTTGTACCTTTTGCATGGCAGAGTCCAAAATTTCCTTTAAAAAAAAAGGAAACACATATATACATACATACACACAAATAAAATACCCAGAGAAATATAAAATGTTTATATTACAAGGACACAAGAAGAGAAATCCAAGTTCCCCCTAAAGGGTATTTTGTTTTTATAAGTTCAGGATTCCAAAAAATGTTTTTATCAGGCCTGATTAGTTACTTTCAGAGTGAGATTTTTTTTTATAGTTCCCAATTAAAGTTGTAAGTTTTCTACGAATACAAACCTGGCTGGGATATTAGTTGGAGGCTGCCAATCTATCATTACTTTTTCTAATCTTTTCTTTTCTTTTTTTTTTTGAAACTTTTATGCCCCATTCTAAGGCCGGGTTGTCAGAATAAAATTGCTAGTAAGATTTCCCACAGGGACAACCCTGTGGCATGAAGTCTTTGCCTCTACCACTCCTGCAAGTTTCTCTGTCACCCGAGAAAGCTGTTACCAGCCAGGAGGAGGGTCCCATTTTTGGAGTTGAAAGGTTCTTCATAAGAGTTTTACTTTAATCCCGAAAAATTCAACGGAGGTAACCAAATTGAGGAAAACATTAGACCAGCCTCTTACCTAACCACTCAGTCCTGACCCCAGGGTCTTTCAACTTGGACCCACTCGGGACTTCTCCACTGGGTGAGTATTTTCCAGGTATCTTTCCACCAGCCCCACCTCGGGCGTCTCCTCAAGGTGGGTATTTCCTGTTACCTTTCAACACGGTCCCACCCAGCATGTCTCCACTGGGTGGGTAATTCCCCCCAGTCTCTTTCAACTGGAGGGCCACGTACCTGGATACACTGCCAAATAAAACTCAGGACCATCAATCAATATGGGAGATCCGAGAACCAGGAGAGACTCACCCAAATTCATCTGGACTCCCCGAGGAGGCGGATGGGCACAAAGGGCCGCTGATGGTACCAAGGCCCGAGTTACTCGGAGAGTCCAGGTGGAGAGAAGTCTGCTCTGGGTCCCTCCATGGTGGCCAAAACTGTTGACTGAAATACATGTGCAGCCTAAAAGTTTAGAGTTGTTGTATTTGGCGGGAGGACTCAAACCGGGATGACAGCCTCTCATATAGCTCTGAGGGACTGCTCT